CGCGCTTTAGTATTTACGAAACTTCCAGTAGCCGTTAAAACAAGTACATTTTGTATACACGTTTGTTAATATATTGTAGATGATATTCTCCATTGCGAGTTTCATATGCAGGTTTAGAAAATTAGATTAGTTTGACTTCAAGTGACATATATATTTTTTTAAAGCAACATGATATTTCAACTGTCCGTAAATTACGCGCCGGACTTACACTCAGGTTATCTGAGCTCGAGAATAATTCCTTTCATATCTCAAAAACAATTTTAATGCTTACGGTCAGAGAATTGTTATTGTAATCTGTTCATAATGTTTGATGGTATATGGTACCGTTAATTTTTATCAGGAATAAGGAATACATATGAATTATATTGATATTTAACCTGTTGAATTTGTTGTATATGCATTGCACTATAAGCTCCCATGTGTTTCACTAGTAACTCACTGTAACTTATATAACACAAGTGTTTAAAACATATCAATCTCTCAATCGAGGACGAATTCCATTTCGTTCTTGAGTGCCCTTTATATCTCATGCTAAGAACCATATTGGTTATGAAATATTTGGGGCATATCTCTACACGTGACAAATAAAAAAGAATTAATGACATCGAACTCGGCTACAGTGCTTATAAATCTTGGGAAAAATATATACAAAGCCAACCAATGTAGGAAGGAAGCGCTCGCATGGAATTCATGTAATTAATTATGTACTCTGTGTTGTATATTACTTATATGAGCCTGTGGCTTAGAAAGACGTTAATCAATAAACAAACAAAACACACCAATCTATGTCAGGTAAACAATACAATTTCGGGAGTTATTAATTATATTTCAATATAATTGAATCAAAACAAATATGATCGCTTACATAACGTAACTTACGTTACGTATTATTGCACGTATCTATAGCCTCTGTACATTTTAGTTTCTACCATCAAGGCCGAATCATCTATGGTGAATTTATTTACCCTCTTTCATTCCCAATTAAAACAGTAGTCCAATTAGAAAAAACAACAACATTTTACTCCTCAATTATACTAGATTTGTATTAAACTTGCTATATTATTCAAAAATATTGAATAATATATCAAAAATACATCATGTAAAACAGACTTTTCACTTAGAAATTTCTTTACCGTGACCTTCAGAATTGAAAAAAACTGAAATCGGCGGATAATATTACAGCTGACACAGTATGCTATTAGAAGATACTGTATGTTTATTTCATAAATGTCATGACCCCAGCTGTTACTTTATTTAAGCATCAATTCGGAACTGTTCAGTTTCTTTGCAATTTCCGGTTTCCTTAAATGTTGTTGTTCGACAAGTACTTTCTTCGACAAGAAATAACATAAAAATTAAGAAGCGAAGCATTCATATTATCAATATTTCAGTATTAATGGCAGCAAAATTACTCCTATTAGCAAATGAGTACTTTTATATATTTTTTATTTAATATTGCATTCACTGCAATATTCTGAATCACGATTTACAGTGGTGAATGTCGAACTCGCAGTAGTATCCGTCCTATTCATTCATTATTACTAGTGAGTGACGCTAATCGCGTGATCGTTATGATCGGTACTTGCCAGCAATTCTGTTCCATTTGACTCGAAGGGAATCGAAGCATTGCGGACGGTTGGCACAAATCTCATATCCTTGTGGCTGTAATAAACAATGCGTGCGTAACAAATACATACAAATTCAAATGCTGGCTATGATGCATTATTTCGATATATCTTCCATGTGACAAGACTGCGTTACAATCGTTTTGTCATAATTGTAGCACAATACGTCGTATTGAGTGAATTGGCTATTTGATTAGGGTAAGTTTAATTTCTCGTTTACAGTATACTACGGTGCCAGTGAGGCTATCCAATTCTGTATTAATGAAACGATTTTCCTGACGTTTAATGTATATTTCGGATTTTTACATGTAGCAGACTGCAGTACTCCGATACTTTAGTTTTTTTTATTATTGAACATATAGAAAATGGTAGTAGGTAATGGTACCCCTTGATTATTCAATAAAACAAGACAACACATCGTATTCAAGTGAATAAATTCGTCATAGTGCGGCTATTAAATCAACGGATATATATTACAATTAGGGAAAGTATGGCTCTTGTTTCCAAATTTAGTCGGGAAAATAAGCCTCGATCGTTCCATTGAACTTGTATGTTTCCGATGTTTTCCGTAATTGTCCGTGACACAAGTTTGATTCTGTTTTTCTAATTTCTAACGCGCACGGCTACAGCTCTATTAATCGAATGAAACGTGTTTTGCGTTAGTAGAAGCATTCCACTATATTTGTCAGGTCGCTCGTGCGTTTATCATTGGTTTATTTCTTGAATATTTTTTTATGGACAGAAATAGCACACTTTGAGACACCTATTTTCTATTTTGATGAAAAATCCTCGCGTATTTGCATTCAATAAAAGCTTTTTATGATATCTGACATTGAAATCGATAACTAGTTCAGCTGCGAACTATCGAATGCAGTGAAATATTCAATACGTTAACCATTGCGAACAGAGTATATATAAACCAATGACGCACCTATGATGTCATCATTTGTCTGTTTCAGGGCGGTGCCTGCAGTTATGTAAACTCTTGAAATATCCTAGAAAACTGCAAACGAAAACAATTTTTGCGTGAATATATGCTTAGTCAGTCGAGTTACTTATCTGGAAACTTATTTGAGTTACAGCGTATTTATTGCAAGATATGTACACCAAAAGTAACACATTTAATTCTGAATTAATAAAAAGGAATTATGTGTGTTCTATGGTAACGGTTGATTGTGTTCATGAGTTAGCTCATGTTTTGCGCTGTTTTGGGGGATGTATTTATTTATTTATGGTAAATGTGTTTCCATTTTTATTAAGAACCGATTGGAGATTATTTCAAATTCAGGGCGGTAAAAAATCCTGTAATTGATTTTCAAGTATGTAAAGTCATAGTTGCAAGTACGACAACAATCGACCGGTAACTACTACTGTTATCTATCTACCTTTAAAAAGAAACATTCGATTCCATCTGTTCTGTATTTAAAGGCGCGATTTCTTGTCTTGTGGACAATGTGTTTAAGCATAGACTGTAAATTCAAAGATAATACAAAGATGTAAATGTTTGTTTCTAGATTTCCTTATTTTAGTGTAGTAAAAGAACGCTTCCTATCCTAGATAATTAATTAATTTGATGCACTAATGTTCGCAAATCACATGTCAGCAGTATTTTTTTGCACCTAAAATCTTTCATATATACATTTTAAAAGACGGATGGTTCATTTGTCAGTATGCAAATTTCTATTAGTTATGATATTTATTTGTAACATGTATTTGTTTTAAATAATCGACTCTGGTGGTCCATTCAATTTAATGTTGTTTCTCGAGTGTTACATATCACAAGTTCTTAAGGGACAACATCAAAGGTTCAATGTAGGATAAAAAACCTAATTCCTTTAGTTTTTTTCCAAATACCCCCACTCTCACTGAAACTTAATTGATAAATATTGATAATCGGACAGTAGTATGGCATAGCAGTTGGTTGTCGGGCGGGTGTAAAAAGACTTTACAAATGCGCATGCTCTAGGTCCATGCCCTCATTTGACGCACATATTTACACTCGGATCAAACCTTTTTCTCGTCTTGGATGTGTTTTTTTTTTTTTTCATTTTCTGTTATTTTTGCCCATGATTGAATAGAAAAAAAAACGAACTACAAATACTACAAGGATTTGTTTGACTTCATTAAAAAATAAAATCGTTTTTGTAGGATGGAAACTTTTTGGGGTCAAAACACCCCC